TTTATATTGACTTGACATATTATTTCCATATTCAATAGATCCATATTTTCATAGAAGTCCCTGCGATCCTGAACGCAAGACAAGTAGGTGACACACATGATCACCGCCTCCTTGCTCTAGTTCCTTATCAGCACAATCAAAAAACAAGCATTGAAAGATCTCACTCTCCACATAGATCACAATTCTAGATGGAAATAAGGATAATGTTGTGAAGGGACCTGTTTCGCGATAGAAGCAAACTCTCGGATCAAAATCAGCGACGGCCCGATTTTCGCTATAGTAGTTGCGCAATGTTTGTGCATATTGGGGAAAAACGAAATAGTTTGGCGCTTCAATCTCCGATGCAGCAAGACCAAGTCAAGTACCTCGACAATTGTAAGATTTCTTGATTGAGCTCCACACGAGGTTGTCAAATCACCTATAATGGCTTACGTTTCGGCGGGATCGCCTTCTTCAGAGCCTGAAAGGATCGAAGCAATTTATGACTACCCGACCAGCGTCTCCACTCACCTACTGAAGTTCGAGAACATTACAGGTCATCACTTAACCGCAACAGGGGGCGCAACACATTCCGATATTCGAGACCAGCAAACCAGAGGGAAGAATGCGTCACAATGACGCGAGGAGCTGAGACCTTATATAAGGATGGCCTTCCAAGAGTGACCCTGAATGAGGAACAGTCCGAGGAGGTCCTACTGCCGGCTCGCTGGTCTCGAAGATCGGACTGTGTTGCGGTGAGTGCCCCCTCTTACGATTAGGTGATGGCCTGTAATGTACTCGAACTTCAGTAGGGTAGTGGAGACGTTTGGTCGGGTAGCATAAATTGGCTCTGAAGAAGGCGATATCGCATAAAGGTGATTTGACAACCTCGTGTGGAGCTCAACCATGATCTTACAATTATCACAATGGTGAGGTTCATGTAGAGCCGTACATGACGTTTACCTCAAGAGTCTTCATGGGAAGGAGGGGGACATGTTTTTGTTGCCGGTCGTACCAACCATGCGATTTTTCTCGACGTGACGCTTTACCCTGACACAAACGACAAGTGTCCGCGCGCGGCTGCATGTTAGGGCGCAAAGATGTAGGCCTAGCCTAGCCGTTTCGTTGTCTTCATCAACTACAGAGCCTTTCAGAAGAAGTGGAATAATGAAATGGAGTAGTTAGAGAGTTTCACCACTGAGCAGAAACGACTCACCGACTCTTTCCCATGACATGTAAAGTGTATCCAAAGTCCCGGTTTCATTACCGGAAACGTTAGTGGTTTCGAGCCAAATAAAAAGAACCTTCCATTTTGATTGGTTTTGCTTTGTGCCAGCTCTCCTGCTTTACCTTTTATGCCTGAAAATGGGAACCTTCTAGCTAATATCGAAGACTCGTATAAACACAGTTTTTATCGAAATTCCGAAATCGCGCTAGTGATGTCGGGGGAGCAGCAGCTGCCAAATC